GTCGCGCTCTATTTGCCCATCAAGGACCTGGCTTATATATATATATATATATATATATATATATATATATATATATATATATATATATATATATATATATATATATATATATATACATGCAACAGTCTATAAAATAGTCGTCGAGCCATTCAAAACCATGGAATATGGAATAGAGAGTAATAAAACGTACAAAACGTGTAAAAGGATTTGTTAATGGATGGAAAAACGGTACAACACTTTTTGTAGTTTTACACGCTATTTTGTAGTTTTTTGCGGTTTTTAATAGTTGGTTTTTTCGTAAACGTGAATTCAGGCAAACTTGCGCGCACTGCTTCCACTGCGGCCGGTTATGCGCAACTGCTTCCAGTGTTGTGAGCCATTGGCATTCTTCATCTTTGGGTCGCCAGCCAGGGAGTTGAACTGGACCAGCGATGGCCAGGCAAGATGTCATCGATTTTGTGCATCATCGCCAGATGGACGTGTGACCTCCACGCAACCTTTCCCAGAGTAACTCCGCGTGCGCAAACAGGGCTCGGCGTGGTAAACGCTCGTTCGGCATTCGCATGACGCGGCCAAACCATCTCAAATGAGGCACCCGGACGACATCCCAAAGCAGAACTTCCGCCCTACCCAAGACGCGATGTCCAACGTCATCATTACATACTTGGTGTTGCCAACGCAGTCGGGCAGTCTTCCGCAAACAGCTCCTGTCGAAGGCCGAAAGACGACGCATGTCTTCCACATGGATCGACCAGAATTCGCATCCGTACAGCAATGTCGCGCATACACAGGCTTTGTGAACCCTTCTTTTTAGCAAAAGTGCAATGTCGCGATGGCGCTACAAATGTCTTAGGTGGACAAACGCTTACTGGGCTTTAGCGATCTGAAGGGATACCTCTGCTTCAATAGTGCCGTCGGCAGTGACGCAGCTCCCTAGATTGATAAAACTACGTGTTCGAGCTGTGTGCGTTCGATGGTGCATTGGGGAAGGGTGCCTGCCAGTCCTGAAGCAGAACTTTGCACTTGGAGGGGGTAAAGCACATACCAAACTTAGACGTTTTAGTCATCAGTCGATCAATTGACGAGTGCACCCCAAAGGTCCTCAGCGTAGTCTTAGTCGGTCGCGCGATTACCTGGCTGGAAGCGACCGTGTGGTGTTCAGCCTTCGACTTGGCGAAAGCACATAAAATCGCTGACGTCACATCCAGCCGTTGGACCCATACGTCTTCCAGGATAGGGACCCAAAGATGAGGAGTGCTAATGGCTTAACACGCCTGATGATATCACCCGCAACCGGAATTAGTGGGAAAATTGTGTCCCTAATTACATTGACTCACATGTTTAATATCCCAAACTTTGGGAAAGACAAAATAGATAAAATCGCTGTGTGAAAAACAAACTAAAAGTGTTTCGTTCTATTTTTTGTCGAATCGTACGTTCCTTTGGTATGTTTACATACTTGCTTGGATTCAGAAGCTTAATGCATAATGAGTAAAAACATGAAATGTGGCGTGTGAAAAAAATTAAGAACTTCCTTTCTTTTTGCGGCACAGTAGCTGAAGTATGTTGCTCACCTTCAAATATGTTCCACGATAATTGTGACGTGGTGACTGCCCCTTATCTGTTAACCTCCATGGTTTTTGTTGGTTCTGTTTGTTTAATAAACTGTTTATACCACTACTATTATTAGGTGTGCTTTCGCCTTAGACCGCATCTTAAAGCTGTCGCAAGATGGCAGTCCATTTCGGATGTATATTTGGTGGGGTGGGGGCGGTACACCAAAGCTGTGAGGCAGTTAGGTGACCCTGCCATGTAATCGTTGGCGGCACCAAAGAAATCGGCAAACTGAGTTTGAATCCTCCATGGCTTCGCGCTTTAGCTCGCTTCGGTAGTACAGAATTACCGCCCCTCCTTTCGAAAGCCTGTCATTTCGTATGAGTGACATGTCCGGCAGCGAGACTTCAGCGTCCAGCATCCGTGACACCAATGATATCGCATGGCTTTTAAATTTGGTGATCTCCCAGTTCGTCCAACTTATTAAAAAGGCCTTGAGCATTAGTATAAAGACAAGTTAGTTTCTCGGTATCTAAGAGCCCACAGAGAGTCAAAGGAGTCAAGTGTGGGTAGAATGCCGACCGATGTGAGATCGGTCGATATTCCTTTTTTAATGCGATGACGATGCACCGTCCGCAGCTTGATTTGACCGTCCGTCATCCGAACATACAGCAGAATCGCGTGATCGAGCGGTACAAGGAGGTTCATTTGTAATCGCCAGTAGGTTTGCTTTTTCAGATAGGCTCGTGCCTGGACTTTTTTCAAGGCTTCAGCAGCTTTAACCGAAGTTCAGATAGAAGGCTTTTCCGACGTCTCCAACAATGTCCTTACACTCCCGTGGCTGTTCTCTGACTGAACAACGAGTTTTAGGATTCATGGGCCGAATCCTGTATAATTTGGTAAGAGAGGTAACTATTGACTGATCGCGCCACAACGTTGTCCAAGCAAGTGTTTCACGAAGGAACCGTCACTGTTCCAAACCGTGATTACCGGCCTCATGGCTATCGTGGGAAGGAAGCTCTGGTGCGCCACAAAGATTGTGCCTAGACAATCCAGCTTTCTGTTTTCCTCTGCGATGTTTCTCTTTGCTTGTCGCGTTCTCCAAGGTACCTCTGGGTAGTTACGTATTCCAGAGGACCCGTGTTGTAGCACATTTGCAGAGAGCAACACGTTTTCTACATCAACGTTGTGTTCGCCATGGTGTGCAGAGTTCGGGTGACGAGTAGCTCTCACAATTTTTGTGAGTTTAGCTTTTATGTTCATCAACATGCATAGTGAGTTCCACTAGTCTGATAAAGCACCAGACAGCGCTGTTTTGACCTTCTGGGTCTCGTCAGCTGTGCGCTTTCCTTGGACTTCTGCCGGGTTCCGATCCCATGACTTTCGGATGCCAGCACACTGTGCCACTAAGCCAAGGATGACGACCGCGAATCTGCATGATTGCCAGTTGACTATGACATAGCCCGGCTCATCTTCCACTGCCATGGCAGTTACGAACTGTGCAGAAGACAGCAGTTTGCTCCACGAGCAAGGACTCTACATAGCGACTGTGTATGACACAGCACTTAGAAGCTAAACGGACCGGTATTAGATTACTAATGAATAGTGGGGCTTTCGGTATAAATCATTGGTACTTCATCTCAGTCATCAGGCTTTGGCACGTCTGGAACAGCACCAGACTAGGCCGTTTCAACCTTCTGGGTCTCCTCAGTGGTGCGCCTTCTTCGGACCCCTACCGGGTACCGGCCCCATGACTTCCGGATGCCAGCAGTCTGTGCCACTAAACCACTGATGACGGTCGCACACCTGCATGACTGACAGTTTACTATGATATAGCCCGGCAGCGAAGCATCAGTTCGTGGTTGATGTGCTGTTGTTGTTGATGATGATGCTGATGAAGAAGCGGGACGTGGAATGCCAATGTTTGGGTGGTTGAAAACGTGGGGCTAAAAGTGCACATGGAGCGAGGCCATAAGGATGAAAAAGCGCACTGGGGAATAAGATAACGGGAAGATCTGCACAGTAGCATCCAACCCCCTGTCCACCCTGCTCGATGCAGCAGACAGGGCGCCGTTACTTGTCCTCTGCAACGGTCAGGGCTTCAAGAGATTGCTTAAAGAAAAACTCGTTTTCGTTGCTCATTCGTTTGCCGAGCTTGGGAATTTGTTGTCAACCGTTTCACCACCATGCGAGGTGGCATCACCAGTGCGCTGAAATTTAGAGTGTATTCATTGTCATTGTGTTATATCTGGTGGGGAGGATACTGTCAGTTTGTTTAGGTCTAGGTAGAAGAACGATTAGTGTTCTCAACCAAAGCCTTTGGTTTTGACACTGGGCTACGGATTGTTCATTTTATGGAGTGATGAGCCGCTCACACTCTAACCTAAAGGGCCAGGAGACTGGGTTTGTTTGGTCTCTAATCATTGACCAATCTGGTATGAGTGGCTCTGAAGCTGCCAGATACACACTCCAGCATAGCTCAGTGGAACATTGAGGCACACAAATCGCCGCACCACCTTAAGGCCCAGCCTTGTTGCCATGGCCGGATAACACGAGGAGTCATTGGTCATAAATAGATGACATATGGTCGGTACTGAAATATGACCATCGTTAAGCTTTCACGTTTGTATAGGGATTCAGTACAGTACCTATAATTATACATTTCACGTGCAACAGAATTGTGGTTCCTGTCTAGACTTTGTTTTAACTCCCGGAAAGGTACACGCCGCTACTCACCCTGGATAGTTTACGTTCATCACATATATGCATGTCGCCTGCGTCAGCTTGTAGCTCTCTCTATGAATCTCAAGAATGACTGACTGGTAACATACTGAGTGAGCTTAATGCATCTGGCTGTAAACCTGGGCGGATGGCGCCCCCGGGATTTTCTATTCCTCTGGTTATTACCTGGCATCCAAATGGGTAATGTCGGGGAGCCAGCAACTTCCTGCTCTTGATACATTGCTTCTATATATTAACCACTTCATCCAACGGCTGTGGCTCTTCACTGTCTGTTGATTTTTTGTTTGTTTCCATCATTGACATCATCAGGTTGGTGCAAATTTTTGCAACTGGATCCATCTCAATTCGTTACTCTCATCATGGCTAATCTGAATTCGTTCTTTGCATATTTTCTGTTCGCTGATGAAACAGTGGTTCAATAGTAGCAGCTTGCAATAACATTTAATCCATATATTGCAGTACGTCGTGCTCACTAGAGGGAGAACAGACTACGCTCTTCTGTTTAATGCGCGGCATCCAGAAACCACGGCTACACTCACTAGAGCGCTTTCATATGTTATTGAGCTTTGCTCCTTCTCCCTTTAATAATTTTTGTCCCGGTAAACGGCATGATCGGGTGCACACATTACTATTCACTTTCCATGTGCATTTGAAATCCTTTAACTTATTACACATTGATTGCATTAACCTCTCTTCCTCCACAGAAATGTTGCGCACGCCGCTGTTTATATTACGTCACACGAAGGAGTGCCTGGTTTCTTCCGTGGGCTGGTTCCTTCTCTGCTGCTAGTAGCTCCACAAACCGGACTTCAGTTCGCCATTTACCATACTTTCAACCAGCTTGTTGAAGCTGCGCGTCAAGACCTGAAGGATCGTGCAAGCAACAAAACCAGCGGACCTTTTGCAGACTCAGACTCCAAGAGGGTTCTGCATCACGAACCCTATCGCGTCGGTGAGTCTTCATTTTCGTGTCTTCAGACGTTTTACTTTCGGACCGTGGTGGACAGATTATCTTTTGTCGATGATTTTTAGTGGTATCCTTGTGCTGCGTAAATCACATGTAAAAAGCAGCATCGATATTCGTCGCTTAGCTTCCGGATCTTTAAAGATTTTTGGTTTTAGGTGAGTGTATTCTACCGACTTCCTCTGTTGATCTCACCGTTCATCTGCCTTTATATAGCTGTATTCTGTCGGATCGCACGTTTGTGCACGACAGATAACTTGCAATTATGCTCTTTATTTTCCCCGGAGTTTTAGCATCGAGGAGCTTTTCATCAACAACGACTTCTTTCGTTTTTCGCCTAATGTTGACGTTACTTTAACTTAGATCAACAATCATCATCTGCTAAAATATTGACAACGAGGTTGTCTCCCCTTTTTCCTATTCCCCAGCTAATAACGTTAAAAACTAGAAAATAATGGAGATTGTAAGTTAATGTCATGGAAGTTTATCATCAATTCACGAACGCATCCACCTCCAGTGTTACTCATCAGTGTTCCCAACGAATATTTACATCATACTAATGCTCAAAGAATAGTCTCACTGCTTTGGGCTTTTAGAGATGTGGTGTTACAGAGCCACCCGTGTTCACTTAAGGCATTGTGGTTGAATTTAATACGCACACTTTGCGAATTGTGGTGCTCCTTGTCAATTGTTTTTGGGAGCCTGGGCGGTTTTAATTACGACGAGTCATGTGATTACTACCTGACCGATAAGCTCATTTGTCCCACGGTTGTGATGGACGAGCACATGACAGACCGATCGGGGTAATACTTGAGTCCACTTTGTTTGTCCTTAACTGACGATCATCATCGAAGACGAGGGATGGGACTGCTTCACCTGCTAGATTCGTCTCAGCAGTCAGCAACCATCTCAAACAGGCACCAGTCTACTCAATAGACTGCACGCAGTGTCGTCGCATAGCACCAGCTTTCAATATGTCACACAATTGCATCGAGCTGATCTACAGCTTCACCCTAGTAGGCAGCTGCTTAAGGGTAACTAGGATCTATACTAAAATGGCGAGCATCAAGTCTGTGTTGTGTGATACATCCGACTTGGCGAGACTAGAGGTTAATGTGGCGCAATGATTTGCGTACTTCCGTAACCCGTTGAGCCTCGTTACGTGGCTCTTTGTAGTTGCTTTCAGAGTTACTCATACCAGACAAGTCAATAGTTAGTGATCGCACCATTTTCAATCAGCATTCTCTTTGGAGGTTGCGGAGAGGTCTATAGCCCACTTTTTTAAGCATTCATGGTGAACACTAGGTGCCTCTTCAGTCTAGTTCATCCTTTCTATTTGGATCCCTCGATCCTCCCTAAGACTACTGGCATGCCATAACGTGCACACTTAATTACGGATTGGCCAGCAGACAGAACTTCCTCGGACACTAGAGGCCCTGTCGATCGATATCTGCTGCTTATCGGGAACCCGGTTGAAAGACTCGAACACTGTGCTCACCTTGCAACCCTCTGTATGCGGCACATTATCATTGCTTTTGTCTGCACATGACGCAGCTTTAAATGCTGGTCTATCCACCGTGAGAATTGCTCTGAGTCCGTGAGCTGAAGTTGCCTTGATCGACTGGATCCCAGTCAACAGCCGGATGTGCACCATCAGGTTGGCTGGCTCGTTCAAAGCTTCAAGGTCGCGCGGGGCTAATATGTCCATGTGTATTATTGCGGTTTACGCCTCCACAAACTGTAGTGCTGATTCAGTGAAACATTACTTCTATCATCAATTAAACGCGCTCCTTCGTCATGGAAAATGTTCAGCTACTGTAGTGCTGCCTCGTGATGTCAGTGTCCAAGTTGGAAAACTATCCACTGATGAACTGCATCTGGGCTTCCAGCATGATGTGGACTTCTGTAATGATAACCTTGAAAGATTACTATACCTGTGTGGAGGTGCTTGTCTATTTCTCTCAAGCACTAACTTTCGACACAGCATCCGCCGAGACGTGACATGGCGCCCACCACCGCTGGACCTGCCACAGGCCCAAATCGCTCACTTCGCGGTCAGTTGCCGTTGGAGAGGCTGTGTCCAAAACTGTCGCCCAATTTTAAGCAACAGCGTAGATTCCGACAACACACTTGTATGTGTTGATGTCCGAATTCGCTTTGTTGGACGTTCGCAACGGCGCTGTATACGCATAAACACAGGCAAGCTAGCGTAACTAGGTGTTCTGAGTGTATAACCAAATGCACTGGCATCAGGGCTGCGTAAATGTGCACTAAAAACAATGGTCACCAGTCAAATATCCGCCAAATATTGTTAGCAGCAGGCATGTCTTCATGCTTCAAATCTGATTTTAAACGTAGGCATTCTGTCTCTACGCAGTCTCCTGAACTTCTCGATATTCGCGGACACATTTCGGCTGGAAGCGAACACAATGGGACTCGCATAGATCTCAGTGCGAAACTTCGTGCTAACCTGAAGGGAGACTGTAAGCCCTGGTGGTCTCATCCTGCATCGGGGATAGAAATAGCTGCTGTCCTTGGTAACCATGTGCTGCGCAAAATCGGATGGATGGGACCTACTGTTAGCGAGACTATATGACAATAGGCGACAGCCAATCCATAGCTTGTCAGAACGCTTGGAGGTTGAGCTGAACACTTTGAAAAGCAGTTGAATCAGCCAGTTACTAGTTTCCCTAGCGGCCAGTGATCGCTCTTCTGTCTGAGTGGTTCCCTAGTATCCGCTCTCACGCGCGGAAGTCGAACGTGAAATCAGACTGTTGGAATTGGATAAGGCCGCATGAGCAGGTAAAATTCCTCCAGACCTCTTCAACTTCGGGGGACCAACTCTTGATGACGATTTGCACAATTTGCTATTGAAGCTGTGGGAGCAGGAGGCTGTCCTAACAGGATCAGCTCCGTTATGGTGTCAGTTTTCTGGGGACACTCACATTCGGTCCGATCTCAATTACTTCTAACTTAACTGTCTCTGTCTTTCTCCATAGACTGCCTGGCACCCGTCAAAGCCGGATTCGCGAGGAGCAAGCCGGGTTTCGACGAGGTCGGGGATATATTGACCGCATCTACATATTGCGACAGTTCCTGGAACACCGCCATATTTACTGTCGATCCACTGTAGTCATGTTCCTCGAAATCCAAGATGACTACGATTCGCTAGATTGATGTGCCCTTTGTGACAGTTTTCTTTTAAAAAATGTGCTCTACAAATATGTAGATGTCATGAGAACGCTGTACGCGCGTAGTTCGGGCGGTGCTAGCTTGTGGCAAAATGTTTCCACCCTTCGATATCTCTAGCCGTGTGAGACTATGTAGCCCGTTGTCAACCTTCTTTTTGATTTCGCCATCGACGAAGTCATGGAAATTGCATTCATTTGGCAGGACATGGAATGTGTGAAGCCACTCCCAGGTGATCGACTTTTTGACTTGGAGTATGCTGATGACATTACCTTAAACTGTTGCAACTCCAAATGTTCCAAAAAGCGCTGGACTAACTAGCACTGGCTGTCAATCGTTTCGGACTGCGCTTTGCATCCTGAAAATGCCAAGTCCCTCTCAAACACTGGCAGAAACCCACCCTTACACTGACCCTTAGTGGTGATAAGCTAGAATGGGTCCCAAAATACAAGTATCTGGGAAGCTAAATTAGCGCCTGTGGGAATAAGAGTTGAGATCACGCACCTTGTAGCAAAGACTCGTGACGCTTTTGATAAACTTCGCCACAGATAGAGCCGGCGTGACATCGCTCTCGCTGTTTAACCCTCATGTACGTTCGTGAAATCTGGCCAATCAGCTCTACCTTCTCAGTTTAGATGTTTGGTGAGAACACCGCGTGAGTAGTGAGCGTGTTCGGTGTCATGTATTTGGTGCAGGAAGAGTGAGTGAGCCGTTTAGTTCCGCTATGTCACGCACCAGGCTTCAATGGCTGGACCGTGCGTTGCGCATGCCAACACATCGACTGCTGCGACGTGCATTGTTTTCGCGACGGGGGTCCGAAAGTAAGAGGATGCCAACTGTTTAGTTGGTCAAGATGAATGAAGACCCTCATTTCGAATGGTTGTTACCTTCCGACTGCTGCGCCTTGGTCCCATATACGACAAATATGTTTGGTTGGATACACTTGGTATATTTCCGAGCCGAACTTAATGGTGCTCCTGTTGTGCATTATTTGTTCCTACCCCTCACACGTATCTTCCCTCTGCAAGGACGATCTCACACCCGATGCCTAATATTATAACAAGTATTGTATTCTGTCGCGAATCAGAAAGGATGTTTGTTTGTTTATCTGGTGGTCTGTGTTGATTAGATGGTTCGTAATCGCACTGTACTTTGTCCTATTCTCGCGATTGTATTGCCAACCTGGGAGGTGTTTCTTAATCTACCTAAATGCGTGATCCTCCGTCCAATGTGCATGGCCCCGCACAGGCAGGTGAGCCTGTAGATTAACATTGATTGGAGATGCTTGGACGGACGACCAGGCATTTAGGTAAGAGAAGTAAGGAACATCTCCCAGGTTAGCTCTACAATCGCGAGAATAGAACAAACTGCAGTGCGATTACAAACCATCTAATCAACACAGGCTACCAGATAAACAAACAGACATCCTTTCAGATTCTCTACAGAATGCCACCAAGGTATAACCGTCGTGTAAATATTGTATTGTTACTCCCGGCGTGAAACGCAAGCGGTGATTTCAAACAATTGTTTTCGATTTATTGGTCATCAGGCTCAGTACAGAAATAAACGATAAAAAGCTGGCAAATCACTTATGGGTACAAAGAGTTACCGCTGACCAAAAACACTCGAATCGAGTTTATTGATACGCGTCTGGCGATCTTGTGATGGATGGCACGTGAGATTGCCGGGTTAGTTCTGACTCTTCGCGCTTGGATGATTGCCATGGGAGCTGTAGCGTTTAGACGTGTTTCTACTGGATGCATAGTTTCCGATTTGTTAATCTTAAGCATACCGTTTCCGCGGTAGCAAGCATTCGCACACTCAGCCGATGGTTCTGCTAGAAAGGTGCTTTGTACGTGGTCTAAAATGCAGTCCTTTTCTTGATTTGATGGCCAGTGCTAATCAGATGTTTTTTGATCTCACTTAAGTTGGCTCTATCAACTTTGTTCATAACCCCACATTTGTAGATGTTCCTTGATTCGTTTGCGTAAATGCCTGCTCGTGCGTCCATCATACCTAGACTCACAGGGAAAGGTAAACAAGAGAACAAGATAGATTTGTCCAGATAGATTTGCCCTTACATGTTAACGTGGCGTTTGGCCGCTACATTCCATGCACGAGCCTGCGTTATATAATGCCGAATAAAACAGTTATCCTAGTCACTGGCGAACTGTCCCGACGAAAGGCACTAGTCACCTGACTTCATTTCGGTAACCTTTGTTCATATTAGCTTTCTTTTACCTGCATCCGATATGTCAAAATTTTGTATGGGTCCGATTGACGAAACAGATTGTGGCGATGTAGCTAGTAATGTTTATTAAATTTCCGGCACATTGTTCGAGTGGACGAGCCTGACACTAAGTAAATTATTCATCCTCCTTAGCTGCTGCTTCACTCACTGAAACTTTTATTTGCCCCACGCTGGATGCATTGGAACCTAAACGGGCCTTCAACATCTTGAGATATGCTTGAGTCTTGTTTTAAACGCTCACATCATCCACCAACACCTGCGGTAGGTAATCTTGATGCAAATGCTCTACGCCTACGACATTTTTTCACTCGTTCTTCACTTCCGCACTCCTTGTGTTTTTCGAGCATCTCTAACCAAACAGACAAGTGTCTTGGGGGCAATTTAGCTCGACTGTCGGCTCATTCGTCATTGACATCTGATACTCCAGCTTCACTTTGTATTGCTGCTTCCTTACTTTTAGCTTTGAGCTTCGATTAATCAAATTCGAAGTAGGATTCACCCCTGATATTCGAAATTGTCATCACGCGATGGTCTGCTGATGCTTGATCGCCCAGTCTAGAGGACTGTGAGGTTGTCTCACCACAAACTGTTGACCAGTGTGATAGGAAGGACCCACTAGTTGCTCGATAGCACCATCGCAGTGCAGGTGAGTGAGCTAGCCCATCGGACCATGCTTTGTTCCAGTCCTGTTGCGGTACCAAGTCACGATCAACAGCGGAGCATTGTTCGTTGTTTTATTTTTGCTGTTGCTTTTTTCCTCCGAATCTGGTTTGATGGTACGGTGCGTAAGAACCACAAGTGTATGGTCCCATCGAGTCACTACCGATGCTGCAATGGAACATTCGCATACTTGTTTCGCTTTCTAGGTTTCCAGTAGGTTTACCCTTCTATTTGACATTTTTAACGTATCACTTTACTTTTGTTCAAAGTGCCTGTTCTCGGGCCACATATACTTTTACTGAGGTGACTCGGGTGGATTCCATTACACTAAGATCCGATCAAAGTTACTAGCATCCAGAAAAGCAATGGGTAGCCAAGTGGGCTAGTGGGCTGCTAGTCGCTTGGCCAACTCCATTGTCGGCTTCCACCGTGATGTAGCAGCTTTGGTCTCCTAGTGCAACCTGTTAGTCCATAGTCGTAGGTACGTCACCGAGCGGATGGATTGCTCCACTGCCTCAAAACCAAGGGTCTGACGACAGTCTAGTACTTTTCCCTACTTCGGTGCATCTCTGCTGGCACATGATGGTGATGCGTTGTTACATTCAAACAGCGCGAATCCTCTATTATTACTGAGATGAGTTAACTAACTTGTTACACCCATAGGTAGCTTTATTTTTGAGCCTTCCGCTTCTCCTCCAGGTACCGTTCAGAGTCTTATCTCAGGAGGGCTGGCTGGTATGGGTTCGAAGTGCATCATCTATCCACTCGATATGATCAAAAAAAGGATGCAAATTCATGTGAGTGCGCCCCTGCCTTTCCGCTTTATCTTCGTCTTTAGCTTGCTGTTACTGCGGCCCTTAACAGATTGATTTTGTTTAACCACATGTATCTGGGCTGTTTTATTACCATATGACAGGGTCACCGAGTGAGTACTACTGAATTACGTCATCCGGTTTTCGGCAACAGAATCTCCCGCGTCTCATTAGTGTCTGTTAGAATTCAAATCGCATCCTGTGGTTAGGCTATATGCTCCTCGTGTCTGCAAGCCGACGACCTCGGCTTATATTGTATGTCCATACTGGACCCAACCCCAGGATGTCCATTCAGTGAAGTGACAAACGGGCATGAGTTAATTAATTAGAGTTGTTCATATGCTTTCCTCAGGTGGACGATTTGAGATTTCCACCTCAATAGCAGATACCTTTTCGGATATGATGCGGTCACGGAGTCAGTAGCATTCATGCATTCCTTTTGTTATCGTTACTTATTCTATCTGACAGGGTTAACCCATATCCATTCCTCCTGAACTACTGCTATTATTATCGATACCACCGGATTGTGTGGAGCTAACTGCATCTACCACATTTCCATGCGCAGATCCCAATTGATCAACTGGCCTGAACTGAAATAACATGTCACTCTCCGCAGTATTGATACTAATCACGTCCGATTAATAAACCGTAGCCCTTTGTGCGAGTCACTCATCTACCTTTTTCCCTTTTGCCAATCTACTGCATATTCCCATCTCAGGAGTCTCTCTCTGTAATTTTATGCCAATGGTACTGCTTTAGACATGCGCGCACTTGTTACCACCACGTAAGAAACACCGGGTATCGATGACTACACACTGTCATGTGTATTAATCTCTTATCGCTGCAGCAATCTTCGCACACTTCCTTCTCCCTCCCCATCCCTGTCTACTCAGGGTTTTGAGGAGGCACGTGTTCGATTTGGCCGTGTACCCGTCTCGGGCAGTGTCCGAAACTGTGTAGTGAGTATTTGGAACACTGAAGGAGCATATGCATTGTTTAAGGGCTTACGTCCTACATTGCTCAAATCGTGCGTGTCCATTTCCTGTCGATTCACAGTGTACGAGCAGTTATGTCGCCTCATTTACTACAGTCGAAATTCAGAGAAACGCGGACGCACTTTCTAGCTGTATTTTCGTCTTTTTCTGTAACTTTGTATCTACTACCATATGGCCCGTATTTTACCCATTTGTTCCACTCCTTTTGATTCCTGTTTCCAACTCCCATCGTTGTTCTCCTTGCGCTGTTGAAACATTTACCTATTTCATACTTCCCCCACATTCGACTTCATTTCTCCTTTCCGGTTATCCGGACTTTTTATCCTTTCACGTTCTGTATTTTTTCTCCGTTTCACATCGCGCAATTTTTTCTGCAATTTTCCAACACCGTGATATTTGTTACAGGAAATTTTGGAAACAATGCGTTTTTCAACTTATTGGTGCACCTATCCGATTCCTTTCTCTAACAACGCCTACATGGGAAATGTTGATTTCTCCACACGAGCTGCTCTGCTATCAACTTCGTCTGCTTCCTTTTCGCTTATCCAGTTCAGTCCAATTATGATCCGGGCACTTTAGTGCGGTGGACTCAACTGCCAGGACTCACGTTGCAAGGAGATTGGTAAATGAGGCATTGTGCAGGCGAAATGTAATGAAATAGGGGTTGATAAAAAGTGGGCAAAGTTACTCCAGATGGAATGATGGTTAGCCGAATGTAGAAGCACTATTGATTCTACGCGATGTCTGAGAAGGTTTCCAAACACTGATGTGCTCTGACCACGAGCATGACATGTGCCTTTCTCGGTTGTTGGCTAGAGATTTGTGGAAATTAGCTCATCCTGGAGGTCTTCTTATCATGTTGTTTATTTTTTAAATCATGTTTCTTTCTGATGAGGCCAACTAGATCTGGCAATGTAAACACTATGTTTTCTGTACTGCTACATATTGCCCATAATTCAGTTGGTGGGATTATCTTGTAGTCATATTAATTAATCAGTTTGATCATTTGGTATCTTCTCCACTAGGTAAGACACATCTCAGCACAGTTGGTCCGATCATGAGTTGCGGAGGAAATTCAAGCTGAAATTACAGGATTGCTGTTCAAACTGTCAGCGCGAGTAAGATCTCCCGGGGAAACTCAATAATTCAATGGGAAAACAAGTTGAGCCAATGATGTACAGGTGAAACATCAAGTGGTTTCAGGAACGTTCCCTCCAGGGATAGTCCAGAGCTAATTTCAAAGGCACTTCAACCCAGGCGATCAACGGACATCTTTATAAGTCAACCAACGTAGATTCAGGTATCAGAACAGCTAGGTCAGCTGTCTTGATTGGTAGATCAGTTCCGCTAACCAATGGGGAGGTAGGTACGTGCGACGCATGACCGCGAACGTTCCTGAAACCACATGATGGTACGGCTGTACACCATTGACTCAACTTGCTTTTTCCGTTGAAATATCCCGGTTTCCATGGGAGATTTTACTTTCCCTGACCAAAACCAAATGTACTTTACTTACTAACTACTCTCACGATTACTTTGTCTCACAAGGCTTCGGAATAGAAGCCAGTCGGGAATCGTTCAGGTACGTTCCTAGGTGAAGTGTTACAAAATGGGAGACAAATAACGATCATTAGAAATGTAAAGAAACAATATGCACGTGGAAATGCATGTTTCACTTCAGTTTAGTTAAACAAACATGATATGGACACCAACATTGCCACAACTTACGTCGCCAGAATACTAACGATAAGAAAATAACGTGGGATGCAAATGGAACTTACAGAGGAGGAAGTGCTTGAAACTAATCAGGACAGAATGCAAATTAAGTGTTAGATGCAAGAAGCCGAATGCGAGAATCCCACTGACTGCGCGATTGCACCAGGTGTAAGGGCCTCCAACTATTGTTCTGGACTATCCCGGGGTCCCCATCCAGGAAGACGATATGCATCAGCCTGACCAAGTCTTTCGCTTTATTTCTTCATGCATCTATGCTACGTCCTGGACTGGGCACCTCGCGATTTCGACCATCTTGGTTCAGCCATGTACAATTCACTCCGAGGAAGTCGGTCAACAGGCATACGGAGGACATAACTTAGCCAATTTAAGCAATCAAGATTCAGTAAACACTCGAGTGAGTCACCTGGTTTATCGCCAAAAAGCAACTGGCGATGTTTATCATTCTTTATCTGGTGTTCCCACCAGGTCTGAGCAAAACTCCGCAAGCATCGGTGGTCAAACAAGGCCAACCGTTTAATGTCTTCACTGCGAATTGACCAGATCGCTGATCCACACGGTAATACTGGCCTTATCGCAACGTTATACACCCGAACTTCCCCAGACATGCTGATGTCTCGCTATCCCCATAGACCGTTGGGTCTCTGGACAGCTACACGAGTCTTGCTGATACGCGAGGTAATCTCATCAGTTATGTGATCACCAGAGGTGACACAGTTGCCAAGATAAGTGAACCGATCCTTCACCTCCAGTGGCTGTTCGGTGATGGCTAGAACCGGTGGTGTGTCGGTCCAGTCTTGCAGAAATGCTTTGCCTCATGAAGGTGCAAAGCACATTCCGAAGCGTGCAACGCTATGTACCAGTCTATCCAGTAATGCTTTACATAGCCACTGCGTCAAACGCAGTGAGAGCTATGTCGTCCGCACACTCCAGGCTTGTCAGACAGCCACTTCGGTGGAATCTGAGGGCAGAGTTGCTCATGATCATTTCGATCACAAAGTTAGAGAGGAAAGGGTCTATGAGACAACTCTGGCGAACCCCACTTGTCTTGGGCAACTCAGGGGAGAGCTTCTCTTTCCCGGCCTCGGGAGTCACGGCAGAGAAACTACACAATCAATAGGATCTTCGATGCCACGCCATTCCCGGATAGGCAGTGCCACAAGGTGGCGCGATCGACAGAGTCGAAGACGGCTTTCATGTCAAAGAAACCACCATAGTCGGTCGTCTACATATGTGTCTGCTCCAACACTGGGCGAAGAGTAAATGTGCAGTCGCTGCAACCACGACCAAGGTGGTAGGCAGCTTCCAAAAGCATTTATACCCTTGGTATACAACAGTAATTTTAAAACAGAATGCGCGTGAACCGATATGGTAACACTTCAAGGTTACATGCCTAAGTTGAAAACTCACCATTATGAACAGTTTAAATCGACTAGAACGAACGAGGTGAATCACACTGGCGACAAATGGAAAACGGTATTATTTAGCTAATTTGCAGTGTTTAGTGAAGGGACATTAATAGTTCAACGTTTCAGTCGATCTACCTCCTGTATGCAGTGATATTTTCGACTACCTGGATACAAGAGATGGAGCACAACAGAAGAGCGAATTGTTAGGCTAATTTTTCTGACCCATAAACGTGCGCATATTTTGCTTAGGCCATCAGTAGGTCTTTTCACTAAGTGAGTACAGAGAACGAAGCAGTGTAGAATAAGTCAAATATAGATCTCACTTATCCTCTAGTTTATGTGCTCATGTTTTCGTAGCCCATCGGTGAGTCAGCTGGAGTAAGATCGAAGTTTGTGATAATGTAGGTGGAATGAATGAAAGGTAGTTGTAATCTACATAAAAAGCAGAATCCTAAGGGGACAATGTAGGTACACGTTGTGTTACTGGGCTGGCACAGCCCTGCAAAACTTACCCGAGTTTCACAGACGCCAGTACACTGCGGGCCCGAACAACACGGTCGCTATGCAGAGACCCAAACTCACCACTTCAGAGCGGAGCTCTCCCTACGGAATCTGCCATCAAGGGTCCACTCAACTGCACGGATCACAACGAAGTTGTCCTCAGTGAGAGCACGGCCAACGTATCTCGCACAGTTTCTACTGAATTCGTCCCAGTCTCACTATCGTATCTTCCGGACTCTCCTCAAGTCAGCCGTGTTCATGCCAATGCCTTAGCCACCGAGCACACTAAGCAACTGTGCTGTGCCCAACTTTTCAACAGCATGGAACTCACCCCGGACCACGACATGGCAACTCATGTGCCAAAAACATACGCCTTCCCTTATAGTTTATGTAATTACTACTATTTTAATGAACCATAAATATGAAGGTGCAGAAAACACGGTTGTCTTGGTTAAGTCAGTAAAGCACTCTTACTATTGGCTAGTGTTCTTTCTGCGGGTCTCGGTACAGTTGTGCGGCGTACGCGTTCCGTCTGCCTTATCAGTTGCGAGTTCTCGTCTGCCGGCTAAGTCCACTAGCCATCCATATACGAATCGTCTCGGATACTCTGTGCGCGGGGAACAACGAGTGCCAAGTTCGTCCGTTCCGACTAGGGCAGTCGAAACCCAACCAGGACGTATATAACACGCTGTATCGACAAACATTTTCCCCCATCTATTGTGCTTTTGTATTGCGGATGTTTAGTTATTACCAGGCCTGTTCTCCTACACCCATTCGTCAGTGCAACTAACACAAATCAATTCCTGAAAATGTTAACAGCTATATACTCTTTCAGTTGCATCTGACTAGAAGGTGAGCTTCTGATACCCTAAAGCAATCGATTCCATAGCGTGAGCTAATTAAGTATAAACATGTTGCACAGTAGATCTGTGCTGCAACAAGGTGACACAATCGCATAGCCTCTTTTTCTCGGAACACGGGCTGACAGTAACTGGTGAGTTGCAACCAAGCGAAATCAGAACAACGACATAACAGTAGGAAACCTTAGTAGCCAACGTAAAAGCGGAACATTCAGTTCGGCGCATCTGAACAAGTAAAAACTGTCTGATACGTGAGTGACTTCCCCTCGCGAACGATTCTCATTTCCAAGCAGTTCAATAACGAACGCCGACTGGTTGGTGCACAGGCACGCACACGGCATCAGCAGCCCTTATCGCTGGATCATCAACAGCAGTACAGCAGCCATTTGAACTGATGCTTCGCTGCCATACAACCATAACGACCTACGGAACGAAGAATAATAAGAGGATGGGAATGGAGTACTTGGCAGTTGGAGTACTTACCGGAAAACCATAATGCCCTAAACAAACCCTCGGGGTCAAGGCGCCTACACTTTGTCACTAACATACCATCACAAACATCTGGCTATCGTGCAAAGATAAGGCGGCATCGGCGAGTACGTTCCTTGTGGCTTTCATTGCCACACGTCATAATAAGCCATCACCCCGCAGATAACTCAGCACCAAACACACTTTAACCAGGAAATCGACTAGGAGATGACGGCAGACACGCCAGTGGTGTCGACTACGAACCACATCCTGTAATATCTCAATCCAAGCACAAGGTGGGTCATGTAGACTCCAGCCTGGAAGGTAAGACGGACCGGCGGCATCATGTTTAGTCGTCAGTAACTTCATTTCCCGTTGTCACCGGTTCGAACCAGCTAGGGATGGGCATCCTCGCGGTATACGCTGCCCACGCTCGGTTAGTGGTGGTCGCATAGCAGCGAAGCGCCGTTACGGTGTACAGCTGGTGATTTCCTTTCTTTCTTTCCGTAAGGTGTACCTACGTCCCCAAGCCAACGCAACTTATTCAG